ACCCAAAAAACAACTTTTGTGTAACGACCAATAAATATGCTTCTGCACTGTTGTTTGGGGTTCAAGTCCATCAGAGACTGTTCCTCCCTGCTGCCTCAGAATCTGATTATATTCTAGAGTGATGCTCTTTCTTTGATTATCCCTCACAACTAAGAATACCAACAATAGAACCCATACCCAACACTGCTTGGGTAATCAAGAACCAGAGACTAGATAGCCCAGACCTAAGGTAAAACCGAATGCTACTTACTGCTCTAAAACAAGTGGTGATAAAATGACTCCTAATGATATTCTGCTATATTCATAGATCAGTGCCTTATTCAGTTATAATCAGAGAAACTTCTTCCTGCAGTAGATGGGAACAAGTACAGAGACCTACAGCAAGACATTACACAGAAAGAGGGGGAGGGAAGGAGAGAGAGAGAGACAGAGACAGAGACAGAGACAGAGAGAGACAGAGAGACAGAGAGAGAGACAGAGAGAGAGACAGAGAGAGACAGAGAGAGAGAGAGAGACAGAGAGAGAGAGAGAGAGAGAGAGAGAGAGAGAGAGAGAGAGACCTTGGAACACACAACTCTAAATGGGATGAATGGGATGTCTCAATCAAATTTCTCTCCGCAGAGCTCAGGGAACCCTGAGGAAGAAGAAGTGGAAAGAGTCTAAGAACCAGAGGAAACCAAGAAAACAAGACCCTCTAAATCAACTGAGCAAAGCTCATATGAACTCAGAGACTGAAGCAGCAATTACAGGGCCTACGTTGGTCTGCACCAAGTCCTCTCTGTTTGTATATTATAGCTTTCAGTTTAGTATTTTTATGGGACTTGTATGTTAACAAGTGGGTCTCTGATTTTTATGCCTTCTCTTGGGGCTCTTTTCATTATGTTGGTTTGCTTTGTCCAACTTTGATGCGATGGCTTTTGTTTTATTTTTTGTGGGGGCTCAAGGCAGGGGTTCTCTGTGGCTTTGGAGGCTGTCCTGTTGTTTTATCTTATTATATTTTATTTTGTTATGTTTTTTTGTTTTCTCTTAGAAACCTGTTCTTTTCTAATGAAATACAGAAAGGGAGTAGATCCGGATGGGTGGAGAGGTGTGGAGGAACTGGGAAGAGCAGATGGAAACTATAATCAAGATATATTGTATGAGAAAAGAATTTATTTTCAATAAAAGGGAAAAATTAAAAATAAATAAGTTTAAAAAATGAAGATACTATGATGAAATCAATTACTTTGTAGGGTAATGCAAAATATTACTTAATTTTATTTTTTGTTTTGTTTTTGAGACAGAGTCTGTCTATATAGCCCTAGCTGTCCTGGAACTATGTAGACCAAACTGGCCTCAAACTCAAGAGAGACTCCTGTCTCTGCCTCCTGAGTGCTGGGATTAAAGGCATGCACCACCATACATGGCTTTTAACTTTAATTTTAAAATGGGAGAAAAAGTTGTGAATATATTTCATTGATTGAATTCTTTGCTAGAATGTACAAAGCTCTGAGGTCAATCCCTATTACCACCCAAAATACTCAAAATAAGCAGACAAATCAAAACTGGGTATTGTACTATATGCCTGGGATCCAAGTACTTGTGAGGCTGAAACAGGAGGACTGCCATGAGTTTGAGGCCAGCTTGGAGAACAGAGAGTGCTTGGTAGTCTTCCTGACTCATGAAACAAGGAAGTAAAAGACAAAAAAGAAAAAGAAAAAAAGAGGAGTGGGAATTGAATACACATAATTACTGTGATAAAATTTTCAGGAAGGCTAAACCAGAAACCACTTAAAATACTTTTCTGTAGGAGATTAAGATAGCTGCTCTCCAAGCTTGTGCAGCAAATGCTTTTACCTGCTGAGCCACCTCACTGTCCGTTTTCCATTTTTTTAAAAATAACTTTTTTTTTTTGTAAAGAGTCTCACTGTTGGTCAAGTTGGTCTCTATGTCCTGAGCTGAGGTGAACCTTCCACCTTAGTCACTTGATTAGCTGGGACTACAGGAATGCACCACAACGTCCAGCTAATTTGGTGCTCTTTAAGTACAGCTCTATTATCATACTCTCTTGTGGGATATATTCTAAATACAAAGATAACTGGCTTTCTTTCTTTCTTTCTTTCTTTCTTTCTTTCTTTCTTTCTTTTTTTTTGTTTTTTTCGAGACAGGGTTTCTCTGTGGATTTGGAGGCTGTCCTGGAAGTAGCTCTTGTAGACCAGGCTGGTCTCAAACTCACAGAGATCCGCCTGCCTCTGCCTCCTGAGTGCTGGGATTAAAGGCATGCGCCACCAATGCCCAACTCCAATAACTGGCTTTCTTATTAGCATATTTAATGTGGATAATGGTCTGGATGAGGTGAGTGTGAAACTATTTTGGGTATATGTTTAGATAGACTTTATCTGGTAGAACAAATGAGTAAATATATCGATGCTGTCAGAAACTAGAATTTTCACTGTAGAATGAGAGAAGGTGTGAAAGAACTGTGACACGAGATTATGGCTGAAAGATTCAGCATGAACTTGTGAATTCTTGATATATATGGATATATATTTCTAAGGTTTGTTTATTAAGGGGTCTGGAAATAGTGACACTTCACTCATAGTGAGCACATCCTTTACACAGATCTTGGTTTCTAAATACCATTCTCCCGTAAAAGGCTGATCCTTAGTCAAGGGCAAGAAAGTATACAAGGTGGGCCTAGAGTATACTGTGGTGCTAGAACAAAGTTGTAACAGGGAAGAGGCATGAGGGAATGTCTCAAACTTTCATGGCTCTTTTCCAAAAGGTTCAGTTGGATGAAGGATGTTCAAACTATTCTAAATGTAGTTGTTTGGGGGCTGTTCTTGTGTTACTTTGCCATGTACATGTAGACATGGAAGAAATCACAAGTTCATATCCAAAACCCTCTCATTAATTCATCTATCCCTTGTGAATATCCAACTCAATGAGCCTCACCATAAATGCTGAGCTCCTGAATCTGCCCTCCTGTTGGCCCACCAAACATCTCATCCCAGCTCCCACAACATTTCTGTGTTTGGGAGGCCACCTGAGCTGGACCCTTCATTTCTGCTGCTATTTCCTGGTGTGATTGTGATCACATCACATACCTAGGACCAAGGCCCCAATCTGAGAGTCAGGAAGCGGCTGTCAGGAACTTATATTGGGTAGGGAGCAGTGAGTGGATCTCAGCAGGGCACAGTGCCTATGGCAAATGTTCCAATCCCTGATGAGGATCCTTAGATTTTAGTCTGTTGGTGTATGGAAAGTTATACCAAATTCAGGGCAAAAGCAGGATCTGCATCTTGTGGTCACTCTATTTTCAATGAGTTCCCAGCCTCTTATGTCCCCCTTCCTATTTTTCATCCCAGCAGCATTTGTCACCTCTTGTCTTCCCTCCTCTTCTCTGCCACTCTTGCCCTGACAGAACTCCCCAAGGCTTAATATTGAATGAATAAAGAAACTAAAAGAAAAGGAAATGAGCATGAATGCTCCTAGGCATGGTGGAGGAGAAAGTTTATTATAGATATGTGAGAGAGCATAGCCAGAGGCAGGGACATCTGGGAAGAGTCCTGAGTGAACATATCCCTGAACCCTGTGAAAAGAGTGGTGAGGGAAAGGTAGGAGAACCAGGGGCAGTAGCTAGGAGGCTCAAATGTACAAAGAGAGTGAGTAGCCAAAATGGTTGGATTATAGAGAGAAGAGCAGCCCAGTCCCCTGGGCTGGAGAGTTCAGGATAGGGGGCCAAGTATGCCAGCCAGGATGGCCTGTAAAAAGTAGGTACTGAGGGATGCTAGAGAATCCGGAGGCCAAGTCTGCTTTGATGTTAAATAGGCATCTCAGCCATTTGTCCCAGGTTTGAAACCTATTTGCCTCCATTCCTTCGTACACACATCTTGTGGAGTAACAGATTCTTGAGGATTCTTTGGCTATATATTAAGAACTCCAGAGAGAGGGTCCACCATCTTCCTGTAGTGGCAGCACTGATGGTCTCTCCCTTCTGCAAACTTGCCCTTGACTTGCACTTGACACCACCTATTGCCCATGCCTTTGCCTGTGGCTCCCTTCTAAACTCCCCTCTGGTTAGTGAAGCTGGCTCCTTGAGGCTGAGATCTCTCCTTTTTGTTAGCCCCCTTCTCTGGGCAGCTACCTCAATCATCCTTCCAGTATCTAGGACTCTGTCTACAGAACATTCCTGGGTATAGCAGTATGGATTCAAGTTGTTCCTCATCCACTTCTTACATTTGGCAGTCAGATGAGAATGAAATGAGAAAAGTGCTCTGCAAAGAAAAGGTTCATTAACAATACAAGAGCTGACTATCAAAAGGAGTCCCCTTCTTGCTTTTCTGGATCAGCTTTTCCATTACAGGGCCCTCAATTCATATTTTGAGGGCACTTCACTCATCTCCATGTCCAATCTCACCTCCCCTGTCCCTTACCTCCCACATACAGTTACCCCAGCATCCCAAGGCAATCAGATATCATTGGATCCCTTTCGCAACTCCTTCCTACACTTGTGAGTTTTGTTTCAGCCATAGCCCAATTCCTGAAGAACCCTTTATTTAGTTTCTTGCTCTATAGGTAGCTGCACTGCAATACATACCAATTGTCCCATAAACTCGTCTAAACACTGTCCTTTCTTTGGCCAAGGTGAGGATCTTGCAGGCTTTGTACACCCTGAATTGAGAAGCATTGGCTCAAGAGACTCATGAACATGTCTATGGTTTGTTTCCTCTGCATTTAGAAACTTTAAATGCATTTGGATGCAAGTCTCAGAAAACACTCCTTGTCTGAGCCCTCATCCCTTTCTCCTTTACTATCTCCAAGGGGTCATACTCTTTCTGGCTCAGATGTTTCCTGTAGTGGAGAGTTGCCATATGCATCCACCAGGACATGCATTTACTTTTCCTTCTTGGTACAGCTCCTATGTGCCCAGGAAAGCAGATCAAGACTACCTGAGTAGGTGTTAACTGATAACCAACAAATCCTTTTTCCATATGCCAAGCCCCAGTGATTACACAGGATTCAGTTCTGACCAATAAGAGAGCATTTATTTGCTGGGGCATCTGAGACAGAAGCTATGTTACAGAGAGAAAGTGCTCCTTGCTGGCAGCAAATGGTTTGATGAAGCTGCAGGCAGCCACCCTTTGATCCTTGGAAGTAGTGGTGAGGATGAAGCAGATGCTGGAGAATTCAGAGGGAGGCAGGAAAAAAGCTGGATGTTTGGTGAAATTGTTCATCAACTGCCAGTACTCCTGGGCTTTTTCACTTTTGTAAGCCAGTAAGTTTCCTGTGTTGTTAAACCAATTATTTGAAACCAAAAGCAGACTAGTTTATTAATAGAGTTCGTCTTGGTAAAAAGTCTCACATGCACCTTAAGTGTTATTTAATTTTCCAAATACATTCCCTGACTCAAAGTGAACAAGGACATTGGTAAGCTTATTATCTGAGCTGCCAGTCCACATATGTGCTCACAAGCAGGTCCCTGATGTGGTACCCCAGGTCTCAGGGAGGAGCAGGGTCTACCAGCTGCTCATCCCCTCAGGCCTCACTTTAGTTTATCATTCCATTATGGGGAGTCAAGATTTGTCCCACAAGGCCCAAAGCCCATGCAGGAGGCCGTTGGGCAAGAAAGGCCAGTGTAGTCCCAACAACATTCAGAGTTGCTTCCTTGGCAAGAGTGGAGGGGCAGGAGTAATGTCCTGCAGGTGGCTATCTTCCAGCCTCAACTGCTCCCAGGGGGTCCTCCTCAAAGGAGCTAGTACTTACATGACCTTTAGCACCCAGGCATAGGTTCAGTGAAAAGAAGAACCACTGTCTTCAGCTTACATTTCTATCTCCTCCTCAGCACCCTGAGTTTCTTCTTAAGCAATGAAGGTGTGCAAACTGAAAGTCCCTGTACACAGGTGGCAGAGGAAGCATCCGTCTCATGCTGTGGGAGAACGCTGGGTGAGGAGACCCAGGAAGAATCCTAGTTGTGACACTGCTTTGTGGAGTCACCTGCTGTCCCTCATGGATGAGACCGACTTCCAGGAGGAGCCAAGCAGATAGGGTCCCCCCAAGAAGAGCTATGTCACAAAGGCCCAGGATATTCCATCTGTGGCCCATGCTTGGCTACCACTTCACTTTTGGCTTCAGTTTGCTTACTGAACACAAGATGGCACTGCAGTTGGTGATAGCAGACTCCCACCTTGAGCCGGGAAAGAGGGAAGGAAACTTATTCAGGTCAGAGGAGTGGTCACCACTAACAGACTCAATGGTAGGGGACCTAAGTGGCACAGAAACTTGACTTAAGCCATACAACGGAGCTAGGGTATCTTTCTGATCCTCCAGCCCCTGACTTTGTCATTCATCAAGAGCACACTGGCTGCAGCAGCAGAGGGACTCTGGATGGCTACCACTTGGCTTCCTATGGAGATTTGCCAAGGGTATGCCAGACATACTAGAGGACAGGTGACAGGGACTAGTGGCTTCCTGAGGGAGTCACTTGAGTGTGTATGTTGAGTGGGCTAAATGGGAATGTTAAGGCCCATCCCTCAAAACAACACACTCTTTCTCCTACAGAGGCACTTCTACAGCTGGCTAGACTTGGATTCTGGCTGTCCCAAGCCATTGCTAGGTGTTTCTACAGTGCAGCCTCAACTGTCCTGTGGAAGGCAGAAGAGAATTCAGGCCAAGTACTTTGAGTAGTGCTTAGCACCTAGCAAGAACTGGGTACATACCAGCTATTATTATCACTATGAGCCAAACTGCGACATGAGAACACATTTAATGCAACATGCAGCTGTGGCCTGACCTGGGATTTCTCCCCCCACTCCCAGAAATGCTATTTGGAGAACCCTTTTTCCATAGACTCAGTTACTTCAGGGTGTAGAAAGCGGCTGGCCAAACGTTCAATGTCATCCAGTGTTAGGCGGCTCAGAGATCTGTCATAATCCTGAGAAGAGAAGACCAGGTGGGTTCAGGGGGTGCAAGCAGGAAGGGGTATGCTGTAATAGGTGGGGGCTGGGGCTAGAAACATTAAGATTGGAGGTCCAGAATTATTCTGCTCACCCTCTGTAGTTGTTCCAGGACCCTGCTGGTATCTGCTACACTGAAGTGACGGGCCAGGACTTTGGAGATCAGCTGCCAGAGGGGTGGGGGTGGGGAGTCGACCAGTCTGTGGGCAGACCCTTCTTCCAGCAGCACCTTCTCCAAAGGTTTAACGACTAGGTTGAGTTTAGAATTGGGCCCAATGTTGTAATCTGACAGTCGTTTCTCATCTGCCAAAGAGAGATTGGTGGGGTTCCTTCCTCATTGTTGTGGGGGTGGCCAGAGAGCAATCCTGCCATGGACAGCTAGAGTGAAACACTGCAGCATCTGGCTATGGGGTGGTGGCGTCTCAGCTACTTTTCCAAGGTTTAGTGGCAGCCACTGCTCTAATCCATTACACTGGCCTGTACATCCCGTCCCCCAACTTCCAACTTCCTACTTCCTGTGGGGGGTCCCTGGATGGCTCCTTTCCCTGGTTACCTGTTAGGGCCTTGCCCTTGAACAGCAGACGTTGCTGGCGCACAGGGACGTTCAGCTTATCCGAGACCAGATGCTTCAGTGTAGACACTAGCTCGTCCTCCGGCACCTGATCCGGCCGAGGTGGAGAGGCAAGGGCTTAGTCCGAATTCCCTGGGCGATGCAGCCCTAG